AGGAAAATCGCAGAGAGTCGACTACACTTCGGAATGCCTCATGGGTATTAAGAAAGCAGTGCTGTCGAATCTCTCGACAACCCCTCTGAGCACGTGACGGTATTTAAAGAGAGGGTAGAGAATACTTTCACTCAGCGGTGAAATCGACGACCAGACTTACTGTTTAGGGGAACCGGGGGTGATTTTAGGAGGAAGGGGTTCACTCACGCGAATCTCAATTCCCTCGAGAGCTATTTGTAGGCGTGCAGCATTTCACAGGAGGGGTGAGAAAACGGTTATCTTGATTTGTGTAATAAAAAGATAGGGGGAGAGGCATTAATGATGACGGATTAATGGCACATTAGTGTTGGATTTATCTGATTATTTTAGCTTTGAGTTTAACATCCGTGCAAAATTTCAGGATAATCGGTGCTGGTGGGCGGGAGATAACTTTGGTTATCTGATGTTTCAGGGTTGATTATGAAGATGACGGAGAGAAAACAATTGATTTTTTTAATTAATTTTACGTGTTTCGTTAATTTTTTTTAATACTCAATGCATTGATTTTTTTTGACTTTTTTTTTCAAGTTAATTTTGCATATTGATAATCAATTGTTCAATTAATTCAAGTCATTGATGTTAAAAACAGGTAGGAAATTGCTCTTGTGTTGCATATAGTATAGTTATTTTTGCTAATAAAGTAGCATTATTCTTCCGAATGATTATTTTGCACATCATTTCCTTCTGTCATGTATAATTCATTGCTTATTTCATTTTATTAAATTGAATAAGATCTCTTTTCAACTAATTTCGGATTTTCAACTCAGTTGAATGTTATCATCATCATTACTTTTATTATCCCTTTCTTCTGTACAACCGATTGTCTTTTTTACGGTTCTATCTCTCTGAGGCCCTTCGATAAAATGTTAATAGAAAAATTTTATTTACACATACTTGAATGAATTTGAAACATCACATTTGAAGAAACCATCAGAAAGCTCACTTTCAGGGAAATTCATGAAAAATTCGAAATTTTCAACAATCATCATAAAAATTAAATCAACCAATATAGCTATCATAATCATCTTTTAACTTCGAGTTAATGGCATTAAAACAATCACTTTAAGCTATGATTGAATTCATTTGAAGCATGATATTCAAAGATATCCCCGGAATTCTGATTTACAAAAAATACAAAATTTTTGCAAATTCTCAAATTAATGAGAATAACGATTATTGCTATCGCCTTCCTCTTCGAACTCGGTTACAAAGCCACCCAAACAAATTTTTTAAGCCATCATTCAATCAATTCAGAACCTTTTTTTAGTTATCGTGGAACAACCGATTTTCGAAAAAAGTCGAAAATTAAAAAAACTAATCTGTGAATTAAAATTCAATTAACAGCGATTGATACGGCTCAACAACACCTACATCTGAAAAAAAGATTTATCATTGTTCATAATACAAATTCTCTACTACCGCCTCCTCATTAAAAATGAAAGAATGATTTCAGGCGCTTAAAATTCATTTCACACGTGATAAATCACCGTTATCTCACCTTGACCCGAATTATTTTTAATAGTACAGTTACCCCTAAATGTTGAAACAAGCCCATCATGACATAACTACTCCTCCACAATTGTTAATAACACTGTACATGAAACGCGTGGCACGCAGGTTTAACGCATGGCTGGATGTTTGCCCGAGTACGAAATAATAGTAGATTATATTTGCCACCCAGACATTATCACTATCACGAGGATGGTAAATGTGATAAGGGAAATATTTGCCCTCAGAATGATTCCGCCTACATTTTCAGCCTTGATATTCGTGAAGCACGTGCATTCAGATAAACTTAAGGTAGAAAGTACTTCACCCAGGAAATACGTTAATTGTTGTAATTATGGAAACACGAAACACACTGCGGCCTCTTTTCAACCATTTACGGGCTCTCAGACGTCTTCTACACACGAGTTGGATCTGAAATTAAATAATTAAGATTTATCACTCTGTCGTGCTGAGGGAGGTCTTGCAAGGCGCCAGGAAACTTTGGCCTTTCTCCCTAATTTCGGATAGTTTATCGTTCCCATGGGCTTTCTCCACATTTTTTTGGATTCAATGGCTTTAATTAGCTATAATACATCATCGATAATTGTCGGAATCGGTAATTTATGAAAAGCCTATGATAATGAAGATGTTTTTTCTGTTATGTTACTGAATTATTTATTGAGCAGATAATAAAGGGGAGGACAGTCTGTTTTCGGTTCAAGAATTTTGACGATAAATTGTAATTTCAAGGATAGTTCGTCGGTGGTTATTAGGAGAGTGACATTGAATTCAATTAGCGGGAGGAAATTTACGGAAAATTCAATGAAATTCCGAATTTTTGAGAATCAGGAACATGAGAATTCTCCGAATCACGTGAATTTTTTGGATTTCTGTCAATTTTTATGAAATAATTGTACTAAATTAGGAGTTTAAATTCACATTTTCGGAGGATTTTAAATTTTTTATGACAGAATTCCTTGAAATTACAGTGGAATCGTAATACTATAATAAAAATTTGCAAGAATTATAAAATGATATTGAAAATCAAATACCCACTCCCGACATTCTAAAAACCTAATTAAAAAAATAGTAGCGAAGCGGTAAAACGGTTTACGTCGATTTTGATTATTCAGTTTTCAATGAATATCTCGAAATCTAGGGGGGATAGCAAAATTTCTGTCACAACCTTTTTTGTAGAGCGAGTTAAGAGCTATAGAAAAGGTCATGATAAAAACTTCGTCATCTCTCTTAGATTCGGAGATATTCTTCGAAAACTCAACCTTGAGGATATCTATAGCTTTTCAATCATCAAATTTGTCAATTAAATTGCGTGAGAAAAATTAGAAAAAAATAATGAATATCCAGCGTCATTCGAATGACAATTTGCACAGAATTAAACGTTCTTTAAACATCCGTTCAAAGTCATGCCACTGGATAAAAAATAGCCCAACTACTCAGATATCCATAAACCGTTTCACCACTTCACTACTGAAATGAATTGCCGGAATGAAGCTGCCAGCTCATCATTTTCCCTCAAAAATAAAAATCTCCCATTGTATCCCAAAAACCCCCGGAAATGATACCCAAAATACTGCCGAATCACGCTCAGCAGGAGAAATCACCCCAAAAGCGTTCCATCAAACTCAAACGCAGATCCCCCCCACGAGAGTCCGCCAATAATAACGATGTCCCATTGAATTTCCAGTGAAGCCGTTGCTGGTGAAGATAATCACAAAAGAGGACAAGGTATTATCAGGCAAAAAATACGCAGTAGAATGCAGATCGTGGGGTTCAAAGCCTCCAGCTGCGATGAGCTGGTGGAAGGACAGCAGGCAAATAACAGAAGTTATTCAAAACGTGAGTGAAAGAGAAAAAAAAACATTGAGAAAGTGGATAGACTCCATCACTTACTCCACCACCTTTCCTCTCAGCCCTCCCCCCCCCCCCCCCCCCC